CCTGGCTTGCTGTAAGCCTATTGATGCATCCGTCAGCTTGCTGCTGTTCTCTGTGAAAGTCCATTCTGCGTTATCTTCTATGACTTCTTGTTTTATATCTTTTCCATAGGGTGTTTTGTATGTTTGAATTTGTTCAGCATCAGTGTTGTGGTTTAACCTCAGTCGGCAACTGAGTACCACACAGCTGCTTGCCTACTTTCCCCGTGGGATGGGGGAGAGAATTGGAAGAGCAGAAGTGAGAAAACTCACGGGTTGAGATAAGAACAGTTAATAATTGAAATCTATTATTATTGCTATTATTATTTTAATAATAATACACAAAGCAAGTGATGCACAATGCAATTGCTCACCACCCGCTGATTGATGCCCAGCCAGTCCCCGAGCAGCGGCCCCCCCGACCAGCTTTCCCCAGTTTATGTACTGAGCATGACGTCCCATGGTATGGAATGTCCCTCTGGCCAGTTTGGGTCAACTGTCCTGGCTGTGCCCCCTCCCAGCTTCTTGTGCCCCTCCAGCCTTCTCAGTCGGTAGAGCATGGGAAGCTGAAAAGTCCTTGGCTAGTGTAAGCACTACCTAGCAACAACGAAAACATCGGTGCGTTATCAACATTGTTCTGGTCCCAAATCCAAAGCACAGCACTGTACCAGCTACTAGGAAGAAAATTAACTCTGTCCCTGCTGAATCCAGGACAATCAGATAGGTAATATTCTTGGGATATTTGCTGACAGCTGACTTAAAGTGCAAATTACAATGCTGATTTTAACTCCAAGCTTAAAACAAATGCAGGTAGATAACTCTTTATACAGTATAAGCGTGAACTCCTTTCCCAGGATACTTGTGGATGCTAAGAGTTTGCATAAGTTCAAAAGTAGCTAGTCAAATATATGGAAGCAAAATCAACTAAGAGCTAAAAAGCTTCCCAAAGGCACCACTGCTAGCTTATGAAATCTCTGGACTGCAAATTGCTGGAGTCTGAGTCTGTTCTGGGAGTTCTAGCACTGTGTTTTTGCTGTGGTCTTACAGTCTTCCCTTGGCTGCTGTTGGCCACAGGATACTAGGCTATTTGGACTTTCAGCTTAAGCTGGTGCAGCTGTTTTGTTCTGGCCTGGCTAAGTAACTTTGTGCTTAGAATACCTGTTTCTCACTACACTTCTATTTTATCTATGATTAAAATGTAGGGATATAGGACTACAGTCATTCCTGGGTCACTTTTTCAGACCCTTTCTTCGTTGGCAACTGAGCCTAACAGTCCCATTATAAGCAATTCAAGCTCCCTTTTCAAAGTCGTTAGGTTGTTTTTCCTATCGCTGCCAAGAGGATGTTTCAGAGCTTCATTTTCCAGTGCTTAAAAATCATCCTTTAATTTCCAGTTGAAGTTTATTCATGGCCATTTTATATCTGTTTGTCCTTGTGCCAACTTTGTTCTTTAGCTAAAGTAGCTCTCTGCTTTCCTCAGTGTTTACTTCTCCCCCACCTAGCGTGTGTATGGAGAACAATCAAGTCACCTCTTAACCATCATTTTGTTAAGGTGACAAAACTGTGATCGCTAAGCCTCCTCATGAGATACATCTCCATGACCATAATGACTTCCTTAGCTCTTTTCTGCATGGTTCCTTCTGTGTACTGCACACAGCCGTTCAGGTGAAGCCTTATATGAAAACATTCATGCTTTCACTTCTCCACTGGCAGTGGCTTTCCTGAGACCTGATCTGTCCTCTTCATGGTTGTGTCACCCTGCTGGGTCATGCTTGTCCTCATCTTCTAATGGGCTCGTATATCCAGGATGTCCTTCTGCTCATTTCCAAACTATGAGCCCCTGCTCATAACAGCAATTCTTATTAAACCCTAAATGCATAACCTTGCACTTTGACTATTACATTTCATCACACTTCTATTGCTTCAGAACTCAAGAACATCCTGTTACTCCTGAAAGATATTCTGAACTAGCTGCTATTGGCAGTAGCTCCTGACTTCACACGGTCAGCAGATTTTCTTAGTATACTCTGACTTATTGTGCCAAGGTCATTAATGAAATGATAGAATAAGATCAGTCTCAAAACATCCTTGAGGACTTCCACACGTAACTGCCCGCCAGATTAATAATTTCTCTTCTGGCATAAATCCTGTCATTGCTGCTTTAACCAGTTCCTTACCCACCTTGCAACTCTTATGTACTAATCCTTATGTTCTCCAGCTTGGCTAATAATTTCCAGTGTGGCACCATATCAAATACTTTACTGAAGTACAGATAAATCAATCTACCACGTTTCTCTTGTCTAGAAAAATTGGTTATCTTATCAAAGATATCAAGTTAGGCTGGCTTGATCTACTCTTGGTAAGTCCTTTTTATCCCTTAACCTGTTTTATCTGTTTTGCAGTTTACCCTCGTGTCTTTAGAACAAATTTTGAAAGAAAAAATAATTAAAGCAATGCATACTATTGAGGTCAGTCTACTGGGTCTGCACCTACTTATGACTAACTGTGAAGTACATGCTGTAGGATGTACAGAACACTGCATATTACCTGTGCTAAAACCCTTGTGAGGAATTGCAGTACTTGAAGAGATGAAATGTACTTGAGAAGATGAAAAGTTTGGTTCCAGTTTATTTTATTGCAGTACTATGTACAGGCATGGACTGAGATGAGGATATGTCTAGGCTGTTAGCCTGGGATGTGGGAAATCCAGTTAGCTACAGCTGCAGCCTGCAATGTTTTTTCAGAAGTACGTGGTGATTATAAAAAATTCTGATTGTACTGAGTGGTGCTGGGATCTGGGTGATACCACCTTTATTTTTTTTTTCAGGACGTGTGAATTTTCCATCCCACAGTACCGTCTGGGTGGACTTACACCTTTATGATAGTCTTGGGTTTCTCAGCTTTACAAGCAAAGCAGTTGCAAACCTGTTCTACCAGGTCACATCAAAAGCACAAATACCTCTTATCCCTCGACTCAGAGTAGACCAGCTCCCTCCAAATCTGGAGAAGAAAAGCAACCAGGGGTGGCTGAAGCCTCAAGGCTGTTGAAAGATCAGCTATGGTATGGCCAGGAAGAGTTTAGGTCTTCTGGGGTAGGTGTGACGAGGAATTAGAGAGAATAGGGACTCAAAGGTAGTAGGAATAGGAGATTACACTATCTGAGAACGTGATTTGGGAGGTCTGAGGTCCTCTGAGGATGAATGAAGTTGTCTGCCTATAACGTGGTTTACAGACCCCAAAAAAGTATTGGAGAATCCAGATTTGCTGATTGGTTGATGAGAGGTTTGCTGGCAGTGTTGACATTATGATATTGGTGTAGATCTACTGAAAATCTTTGCAATGCTCATAAGCACTCCCAAAATAAATCAGATGCCTACAGGAAATCCTTAGATCTCTTCTACTTGGAGCCAGACACGTTCTGGTCCTTCTTTCACTGCTCTGCTGTTCTGGCACGTGATTGAGACATGCTTTAGCGTGTGAACATAGGTATGTAATGTAGTCTCCTTTAGAAGATACATACTTGAGTGTGAGCTTTGGGAGATGCTCTGGACAGAATTTTAACTTGCTTAGAGTTGTTTACTTTGTCCCAAATTTTAAACTCAGGGAAAGACTGAGTGATCAGTGGCTGTAGCGTATCCCTTTTCTGAGCATGCTGAATAGCTGGTGGATGACAGTATTCCTCCCACCAGCTGAATGATTGCTGTTTAGGTGGAGTTAAAGCAATGAGAGCATGACTGTGCTTTGACTGGTGAGATTTTTAGCTACTGATTTCCTGTTCTGTCTGTATTTGTGTGCATTTCTTTAGCAGTTTGTTTATAATGCTGCTGTTGAACTCTGTCAGATTCATTATGAAAGAATGACATTAGATAGGGATGTTGACCCAGCATCAGCAAGAACCAGCTCTTGAATCTTTCTTAGTCTCAGCTGCTGTTAGGACACACAATGAACAGCTTGATGACGAAAAAATATTTATTTCTTGCTGCAGGATGATAATTGGCTCAGTATGGAAGTTAATATGATTTTATTTGGGGATTGGTTTGTAAAGAGACTACATTTTAAGGAATCCTTGGGCATGGAGGGTTTTGTAGCTGTATTTACTTAATCAGCTGTGGGCACTTGAAACTTCACAGCAGTAAGCCAGGTTAGAACGTGAATATTCTTGCTCCAGCAGAACATGACTGGAAAAGAATCTTCCACGGGGCTAGTGGGATGGAGATTATACCACATGAGGAAAAAACTTGCCTCCAGATGGCGGGGAGCAAGGATGTCTCAGTTCAGCTTTTCAAGCTACAAATGTTAGTGACCAGCTCCCATTCAAACCAGTGCCATGCTGACTCAGGCAGGTTGAATTGCTTACCTGCACATTAAAATGACGCAGAAGGTCAACAGAAATCTCTCTGTGTATCTCTCCCCTCTACCTCCTTACTCTCTAAGCTCTATGAGGCAAGTGGTCTTACTGCATAGATCTAGCATCTTTCTTACAACTCCTGACCTGGGTGGGGAACTTTACATGCCCCTGCAATACAAAGACATTGTCGTAGTTAAAAGAAATTAATTTTTCTTTTCTGTTAAAGCTGGAGGGACTGAGGATGGGAGTGAAGCTTGTTTTGGGAAAATAGAGAAGGGAGTGGAATTTGGCTGGAAATGCTGACATGGATGTCCCAGCTTGATGCCGAAAGTATCATCTACTGATGTAGATAGAAGCACTGGTGTCTGGAGTGGGCATGTGCTGAGTCTCTGATACAAAGAAATAGTCCTGGGGTAGCAGTTTAAAGACTTGCTTCATTACTTTGGATATGTGGGTGTTGCTTTAAATTTAATGGTCACTACAAATCAGTGTAACACTAAAGCTAGAGGGCTAATAGATCCTCTGCTGGTGTAAAACATTGCAGTTCTGTCAAAGTCCATCATAAGCTGTCAATTTAGACCAGCTGGGAAGCCTGGCCCAGAAGACTCTGAAGATGAAGGTTACAAAAATTATCGAACAAATTGACATTATTTCTCCATCTCTCTTCTTTCCCCAGGGCAGCCATTGAGGCTCTGGCAGCTTTGCTGAAATCAAGTAAGCTGTTTTTTCTTCATGTTCTTTCTGACTTTCCTTTCCGTGCCGTGCTGCTGGACAGAATGATCCTGTTGAACCTCATTCTCCCTTGGTATCCCCTCTTCCCTCAGTCCCAAAGAGCACTGCTTAGAAAAGAGAGGCAGTAATGCAGTAGTTTCCTATATGTCTAGCTATGATTCTTGGAGCCCCATGGCTCTGTGGACACACAGCTTTATGGGAGATGGTGCTCTAGGTCCCAGGGAGCAAGCTGCTGGGGCACAGCCCTGCTATGGCAGGCTGTGCTTAACATTGGCACCAGCTGGCTGGGGGTGTTGAAGACCTTAACATGGGCTCTCAGGCACACACTGCTGGTGTGACTGTTCCTGAAATGAACATGTTACCCTTTTTTGCCTTTATCCTGTCCAAAAACACTTAGCTTTTTATTACCAGATTTTAATAAAGCTTTGATTGAGAAAGAGCACTCTACTATTGCAGACAATCTACTCTACAATAAATCACAATGGTGTATTGTCCTTCTCTCTCTCTCTTCCCCTCCTTTTCTTCCCCTCCCCCTTCTCCTTTTCATAGTATTAGGAATAAATGCATTTGTGAAAAATTGTAGCCCTGGAAGCAGTGCTTAAATGAGCACGCTGCAATGGGATCTTGTCTGAGTTGCATCAGCTCAAGTGATGAATTCTGAAATAATGCCTCAGTATTAACCTTGCTGCCTACATTTAAAGGTCGCATTATTGCAACAAGGAAAGACCTTCTGGTTTGGGCACTAAATCTTAACAAGGGGGGTGTGGGGCTATGCCACAGCTGCTTGCAATACAAAAGTAAAATTAGCCTTCAGAGTAGAAAGAAATTTACAGAGAAGGCTGGAAAAGTGGAGCAAGAGCTGAAAGCTCATCTGGCAGCTTGAGCTGTTCTCCTGCACTCCTGTTTTTATGGTAAGTACTAGGAATGGGAAGTGAAATTCTGTTGTCCCAAGATATTTATAGAATAAATTTTCTACCTGGAGGCTTGTTCTGGGTCTAGAGATGAGAACAGTATATAGAAGTGGAGGACTAATTACAAAGGGAAGCTGTGAAATGTAGTCTCCTGGGGAGTTGTAAACACATGTTGTAAAAGTTGGGGTGGGAGGAAGCTGAGGATGATCTAGGGAATCTAAAAGGATTGGATTCAGCTCCAAATTCTCCCAGCATTTTTTCTCCTGGAGTGAGGTAAGCGGGTTTTTTTAAAAGCCATTTACTCTTAGAAATTTCTTGTGTGACTCTTCTCAGACAGCTTATGTTGTGAAAGCATCTTGGTTGGTTCTCCCTCTTATGCTTTTTGTGCTTTAGGAGAGCATAGAGGGTTTCCAGTACTGGAAGAACACACTGATCATTCTGGTTGTTTGTTTCAGGTGTTTTCACAGAAGGTACAAAAACCAAACTCCAATGATAATTTAGTCTATTGAGCAAAGCAGTCCATACACTGTCACTCTGGTTGATCACTGATGTACAGATTAGGGTTCTCATGTTCATTTCTACTGTTGACCATTGCAAACAAAGGCATTGTTTGGGAGAGATGTCTTCATTTGGAGACGCCCTTCCCACTTTGCTGTTGTGTGTCCTTTTCTCCTTTATCATCCACAACCGAACAACATTGTTGCAGCAACACCAGTTACTGCTTCCATGGAAAAGTGATTTTTAGGAAAACACACGGTCTATTTTCAGCTGATGTTCTTTTAAGGCACTGGAGCTGGGACTTGAGAAACAGTGCCAATACTCTGCAATCAAATAGAGCACCACAGCCCACAAGTCAGCTTGAACTGTGTTTTCTGATGTTTTCTGCAGTCTGGTGCAGAGTGGTCAAGAGTGCCTTTTAGTTTTCTCCTTGTCCTGTGGTTCAGGACATGAGAAGCTCCAGGCTTCTGAAGTAGAGTGCCTTGGTAGCTGCATACAAATGAGCAGGCTGTGCCTCTTGGGAGGTGTGGGTTAGGAGATGTGAAAAACAGCTCTGGTTCTTCCAGAGATAAATTCACCATGGCTGGAAAAGAGCTGAATTCTTTTTCATGATTGCATCAGGGCAGCTTTGTTTGTCACAGTTAACTTACGCCGATGACCTTAGCGGTTTTGAATGGTGCAGGGGTTCTTAGAAAGCTAAAAATCAAACCTGGTGAACGCTATAGCACTTGAAAATTGCTTATGAAAACAAGGGGTAAAACTGTACACAGAAGCCCTTTAGCATGTTTTAGATGGGATACAAACTAAATGGGAGTCAGGAATCCTAGAATGTGCTACTGTACTGAATTGCGGGACTGATTATTGCGAACTTTGTTGGAGACTTGTGGTAACCCACTTGCTGGGGAATGGTGGTGAGATTCAGTTTTGCTGGGGGTGAAAGCTATAAAACAGACAGGACAAGAACACACCCATTCCTGAGGGTCTCCCTGCAGGGCTGTCGTATCCTTAAGTGCTTCAGCCCAAAGTGATCACGAGGGTTATGGCTATACATGAAGGTGTGCTGAAGGGAAAGTGTTCCTCTGCTTTTGGCAGCGAGCTGCAATGGGAAAACACACAGTAGTTCTAAAAGGAGCAGGCAGATGGCAGTGTGTCTCCCTGATGGATTTGGAAACATCCGTCTTTAGCTCCCCGGGCTTCCTTAAGCTCTACTTGAGATTTTGTCCACCTGCAGAGGCAGGGGCTGGCTAGAAACTTTTTGGCTTCTGTCTCTTTCCTAACAGAAGCTGATGCTAAATGCCCGCTTAACAAGTGCATAACTGCAAGAAGCAAGATCTGCCAGAAAAGAAAGCATCAGTGTAAGAAAAAAATTACCGTTCCAGCTGTACCTGGGAAATTGTTGCTGTTGTGTTTCAGAGGGGAAAGTACAAGATTGTTGAAAGAGAAAAGTGATGGGACACTACAAACTTATGCTTCATCCGCAACCGGGAAGAAATGTTTAGAAAGCCAGTGCAAGACGAGAGTGACCTAGGTTGTCCGGTTCCCCTGTACATAGTGGAAATCAGTGATAGTCATAGAGATGGTGAATAGTGGAGGAATAGAAGTTTAGGTCCCTTCTAGTAACAGTGCTGCACCTTTCTATCAATGGAAGCTTAGATTACTGTTACAGAGAAGATGTTTCTTGCCTGACTACCAGCCACTTTCTCACTCCTGACTTCTTATCTCTTTCCAAGCATCCCAGAGTACTTCACCAATCTTTGCATGCTACTCTCCCAGTTGCTGTTCACCTGCCATGCACACAGCAAACGGCTTGTAGCAAGTCCTTCCTCCATTGCCTTGCTGGTGTTTTTATATCTGTTGTCTCTCCAACATTCTGTTAACTCCCTCTGACTGAACTACACTATTATACAGGCTGAAAATGTTGCTTGGTAAATATCTATAATGGTGCTGAAGTGCCATGAGAGCATCAGGAGTCTTCTACTCTTCTCTTGGATGTCACAGTCAAGATTTCCAGTGTTACACCTGTCCATCTTTCTTTCTTCAATTTCTGGATGCTTACTACAGCCCAGGGTGGGGATGAGGGGCTAGATACCAATAGCTGTAGGTAGACTGAGATGGGATGAGGCACAACATCCTTCCCAGAGTCTCTTCTCTCTGTCCTGGGGTACACCTGCTACTCTTTCTAGCCTCCTTTGGCTTTGTTTGACTTCTCTGTACATCTGCCTTCATATCTTGCTCCAGTTCTGTCTTGAAGTCTGGAGAGCTCATCACTATGATCTCCTTTGCCTGTGAGAGGCCCAGGTGTGGAGAGGGCATACCCCAGCTGAAGCCTGTCTGAGCAGCAGTGGAAGGTGAGGGCTGCCCTCTGTATTGCTCTTAGCCATGGGCTCTATTGCTTTTAGTGAACTCAGCCCTCAAAATAAAACAGGCAAACCATTCCCAGTTTTGGGGGAGTGGAAGAAAACTGGATACCTGATATGTAAGTGCAGACAAGTGCATATCTAGGGGTTTGCAGGCTGGAGGCAGTGTGATGGCTCAAGCCGGACACTGCCGCTCAGCACCTTGAGCCACATGATGGCAATGTTATTATAGGGATCCCCTCTTCCACCGGTGCTTAATCCGATATTTGTTTTTGGTGAGTAATTTGTTTATCAACAGGTTATTTTAATCAATTTTGGTTGTATTTGTTATTCCTGACTATCTGTACTTCCCAGAATTAGCAGCTTGCATGTCTTTAAGGAAATTAGCTAGAGCTGATCTCAGAGGCATTTGCTCAGAGGATATTGAAGGAAAGGGCCAGGGAAATGAGGAGGGCCCTTGTTGCAATGCTTGCCTAGTAAAATTGTAATGAGCAATTTAAAAAGACGGGTTGTGGTGACCCCCGATCATGCTTATTTCATCAAGACAATTCTGTGTGCTAATAGCAGTTATTGCTGATGGCCTTTCCTCTCTTTCTATATCTTTTCCTTCCTCCTTTTGTCATCTTTATCCTCTTGCCTTCCCTTTCTCCCCCTAGCCTTTCATCTCTCATTTCCTGCTCTTTCCTCCTCATCTTCCATCCACCAACCTTTATTTAACCTTTCACCCGCTGTTTTTTTCATCAAAGCATGAGGATTATGTTTTGCGGCTGGCAGGATGAAATAATCAGTGTCATTCTTTTCCTTTTATGCTGGCATCAAGGAGGGGCAAATAACTCTGCGATGAACAGAAAGTGATGTTCTAGCACATAAGCAGATTATGGTTTCTGAAAGGCCTGCACTCTCTATATCTGAATTCATAATGCTTTGCAGCAGATCTACTGACGCAGGACTTTGATCTTGCGTCAAAAGGGCCCTATGGTTAAACGATGTCAGTTCCTGTAGCCAACAGCACGATGTTTGTGATTTGCCTAATATTTTGCCAGGTACCCATTTCTCACAATCAGTTTAAGACTTCATTACCCACCTCTGGATTCAAACTCCATTAACAGTCTGGCCCCAAATCTACCATCACAACTTGTAGGTATTGTGATTAGAATTAAATTTTTCAAATAGTTCCTTTCATAATAATCTAAAACAGTTCTGTGTCTATCCTTTC